CATGTATAAAAAATGTGTCTATAGGAGGCCTGCTTGTACGCTTGATGGTGAAAAGCTTCAGGAACGGTTGCTTTGTGTTCCGCTGTCACTTTCAAAGTTTAATCTTGGCAAACCAGATCACTAAATATTTACCAAGTTTCACAAACATTTAATAAAATATCTAAAAATATCAAACTTATATAACAACGAGTTTACTGAAACCATGTTTAAGTTTAATTAAAATATTTTTTCCCTTGGATCTAACTACTAAGAAGAAGAAAATAGATGATAAGGTAATGGATGAATGGAGAATGAGGAAGAATATTCCCTTCAGTTGCTGTTAGATGAATGAAAGAAGCTAAAAACATCTCAGTCAACGACAGCATTAAAAATACAGAAGGGGGATAAGGGTGGCTGTCATGTAACAGTGATGCATATAATGGTATAAAAGGTGTTCACAATATATTACATCAGCCACTAAAATGGGATTTCCTAAAGCTGACATGCTGGTGTAGATACAGAGCAACAATTCAGGTTAGAGTTCCTGTATGCCATAAAGCAACTGTAGCACATTATATACATTATTGTTTTTGGTTTTTTTGCATACAAATAATTGTACTCTAAAGAGGGGATGTCAAGATGACAGAAAGAGTTATATGCAATACGACATTTTCTCCTGAGGAAGTTGAGTTGCTCGGGTTTCTTTTGGATATTACATTTAAATGCAACATGTACCATGACACAGTTAGAATGGATACAAGTCTTCCTGAAATTGGCTTCTTTTAATCAAAATACCTGTTGTGCAATAGTGCAATCAAGGGTCAAAAAGGTCAGATAGAAGGAATTTCTGGGTCTGCTGATGACCTAATTCCATTCAGGAAACAGAGCAAAGAATACTCTTTTTTTATAAGAGACCGAATTTAAAAGCAGGGAAAATTCAGAAGGTCATCAATAAAGGATCATCATGAGAAACAATCCTTACATATTAAAAGTAAAACTGGCCTGAATCGTCACATGAGAGGTTATGAATTTACTGCAACAAATATTAAAAATCAAAAATTATATAAAGAAATGTATTTTTCTTGAAGTATTTAAAAACATCTTTCTACTTAAGTCACACTCATTTATTAAAATAAAACCAATGATTATTCCTTTAATATAGTGCCATTTAAAATATCTAAACACAGACCAGTAAATCAGAGGGAGACTGATAGAGCCTAGTCATAAATCAAAGAAAAGAAAAAATAATGTAAACACATTTACTCCATAACGTCAGGGTTCTACAATCATTTGATATGCTTTAATGGATTAGGTTCCATGAATATATCTAAACTAAACCTTGTTGACTAAATACATTTGCTTAAAGTTTGAGTTTACTCTTCTAAAGAATGTGATAGCCAGTATATTAACTCATCTTTTCTCTAAGTATTATCATAACTGAAGAAGCAGGAGAGGCAGTAACAGATCTAGATTTAACTAGTGAGATAAAAGATTGAAAATCAATTAGGCAACAATTTACTTTTTTCAATTGTTTTTATCAGTTTCATTGCAAAAAGAAACCAAACAGAACATCATCTATCTTTACAGTAAATAAACATACACATTATGGATTTGATTTTCAAAGATCCAAATAGAAGATTTATTGTAGTCTTCTGTCTTAATTTATTTTGTTTAAGTGCGTTTATAGAAATGACCTTTATTTCAACTACAGATTGTTTTTTAAAAAGTTTATTAGGGGTTGTATTTTTTCTTGGATGTCTTTAGCAGTTTAATTCTTGGCTGATGTTTAAAGCTTTAAGCTATTAAAGGTCCACCTTAATTTTCAGAGTCCCTCTAAACGAAGTGGCTGAATTTAATTTCCTGCTAAAAGTGTCTCATTGCTTTTTTCCCCTCAGACCAAACAGCCCCAGCTGTGGTCCTCAACATTGCTGCTATGTGGAGACAGTGGGGGAGGGAAACTAGGGGGCTATGCCTATGTTTGTGTCACATTCAGATAATGTGTTTTTTAGGGGTGGGTGGGAACCAGAACAAGGTCTTTCCCAGATGTGTCTGTTTAAAGGAGTTAGGGCTCTGGAGTGCTCAGGTTATCAATGTAGATATCTAATGAGGGATGTAAGAGTTGCAGAGGTCTGGACACTGCTGTTTGTAACTGGTCCATTAAAGATGATCCAGATCTCATTCTAAAGGTTTGCTAGCATTTAGAATGAGATCCTGGTTTTAGTTTATGTTTTGTTGATATTTTGTCAATGACATTTTTCCTAAAGGTTCAACTAAATTAGGGCCGCAACTAATTATTATTTTGGGAATCCATTAACCTGTCGATTACTTTATTTGGATTACTCAATTAATAATAGGGTGGCCATACATTCCTTAAAAATGACTTTTTATGAAATTAAAGCAGGTGAAACTTTTCCACTTGAGGAGTTCTGCAAAGAGAATATTGAAAGACGAAAAAACATTTTTTTTTTTTATCTTGAATGCCAAATGTTGATATATTTTTGTACAAGTTTGGTATAGTTAATGCTCTAAGTTGGTTTCTCTATCATCCAGAGGCATGTTTTAGAGTCTCCATACTCCAGTTAATGATTAATTGATTGCCAAATTAGTTGACGATTATTTCAATAATCAATTAATCTCATTAATTGTTTCAGCCCTAAACTAAATTGTAAATGAACAAAATGCAGTAAAAGTTTCTTTTATTAAGCATAATGCTTTGCAGTGTTAAGACTGAATGTGTTGTTTCCATGCGCAGTCTTTTTCCCAAACACTGATGGTGAGCTGTGAATTTTTTCCTATTTCTTTTTACTGTAAACATTGTTAAAGGTGGACGAACATCATATTATTTTATTTCTTATAGGCCAGGAGAGTTAGATGAGGAAAATAGAACACATTATTACCAACCAATTCGTTCAGCTTCAGTTTAAAGTCAACACCAGGGTTACTTTTTGTATGAAATTTGAGGTTATGATTGGTTGGAAAATTCTTTTTTTATGCAGCAAATTTTAAAGCATCTAACTTTCCGAATGTATTTACAATAGTAGTCATTCAAAATGTCCCCACTTTCCATGATAGGCCCTTGGCTGGTCCCCCACAATTCCTTTTTAAACATCAATCTTTGTACTAAAATATTCCGTCTGTCGTGATTTGTGGACATTAAGATCTAAAAAGAAGCGCCATCTCCTGGTCAGACCCTGTAATTCAGTGAAAGGGTGAAGTCAGGAAAAAAATATGCATGCCTGGAAGTGGCTGGAAGTTGAATGGGATTTCACTGGGAGCTACAGGGAAGTGGTCTGCCATGGGGTTTGACTAGGAAGGGCCATTTTGAATGGCTGCTACTGTATATATTATTTATATACAGTAGCAGTAGTTGAGAAATTTAGTTGTTACATTGGTTCAATTTTCAAAAAGAAGAAGAAGGTGCCAAAAGGAAGAAAAGGTTTACGTCCATATATATGACAGCTAAAGTCTCTTATTTAACAGGAATATTAAACATTATATGTTTAATCAAAGAAGCAGTAACAGTTTACAGATATCATACCTGAATGATACAACTCAGCTCTCCTAAGGCCAAACCACTGAGCTGTGCTAAGGTTAACCGATACAGTAAATACTCACATACACACACATTTCCAAGCCTCAAAAACTGAAAACAACATTTTCATAATAGCAGGTTCAGCAAGTGCTCATTTATAGCTGCACTGTTGCAAAACTCAAAGCCAGTCAAGCTGCTGCAGCACATACCTACAGCCCTCCATACAAAACCCCAAACGATTGTATTTCAGAGGTCTCATGAGCTTCTTTTGTTCTATAAAAGTGAAAAGTCTACAAAAATAAAGACAGGATTTTATTTTTCTGTTGAAGAGATGACCAAAAGAATACTTTTGTGCTTTCACAGCTTGCAAATGTAATCCTTTAGCAATTGTATGAGTTTTTCCAAATACTTTTTTTTTTAATCTTCCTCTGTCGCTTTCATTATCTGTGAGTCAGTGCATCTTTGCTGAAATTAAATATTCATATATCATCAACGCTGACGCAGCAAACATAAAACTGGTTGTCAGTGACATGTTGAGAAGCGCAACATATCCGCGTTGTATTTTTACCTCGGCCCACACGCTGAGCAAAGTGCCAGCTCTTGGCCTTGAGAGGCACACACACTCGCAGAATCACAGACATGCATGCAGACACACACCCTTAAACATAGCAGGTCAGGCGCAGGCGACCGCTGCGGCAGCCGCAGAACATAAACAACTTTCACACACTGTGTGAATCAACTTAGCATTTCAGCATAGCTTTAGATAAATATATTCAACCGCACATATAAATATATGCAACCATAATTACTCCCAAAGACGCGCAAATGACCATGACTGGAAGTCAGTTCCCACAGTTTCAGCAGCGTCGCAAGCCCAGCATAACAGTACTGGGAATCCAAAGCTCAGTTTACGGAGGACACTGGGAGAAGCTAGGGGAAGGTGCTCAATGACAACAAACAGTGGTTTGTTGGGTTGAATGGAAACCAGAGCATTCATGTGTGCTACTGAAACTATTTTGTGGTGAAGAAGTAACCAGAGAGGAAGAACCAGTTTCAAAATATCTGCTTAGGCCTTCTTCAGTCGGTCATTCTCACTTTCTCCTCTAGCAGACCAAAACACACACCTCTCTCCCAGGAGGCAGCAGCTGTTAGGGTGATAATCTCCATTAGCTACTGAACTGGCTGCTAGAGACAGGGCCGTGCAAATTTTGTCCTTCGTTCTCCTGGCACCTTTATCCAAGTGATACCTCCACATTTTGTCACAAAGAGCCTTTTTTTTTTACACATTTAAATCAATTAAAGCATCAATTAAGGCATCTTTGAATTGGACTCTGTACATTTAAACAAGTTGGTTTTATAAAAACACAAAATCCTTTGAAGCATTTGCATTTATCTAAGCTTTGTTACAGTTGTTTCTTTTTCTTAATTTCTATAATAAAAAAAATCAATGGGGAAATAATTATAAGAAGAAAAAAACAGAATGACTTACAGTCTGTGAAGCTTGGCTGTTCCCAGGAAAAGTAGCTCAGGAAACACGGCCAAATTATTCCGATTCAGTCGGCTGTAAGAACACAACATATATTAGAAACCTGTTTCATTTACAAAAGAGGGGATATATATGGGGACAACCTGCATTTCAAAGAATGATCTGTTTTTTCCTGATGTCCACATTTGTGGGCTTTAATGAAGATTGGGGGTAAGAGTTATAACAGACATGTGGGCAGATCTTTAGGCAAAACCATTTAAGATTTTTAGAAAGCCTGGGAAGAAATTAATGATTAACAGTACAATTGACATTCTTTTAGATATTTCAGACAGATTACTTTACAGCTGTAAATGATTGATATCCTTGACATCTAAATGTAAAATCATTCTGGTTCTAACAAGAAGACTGGTTCTGATTGGAAATAAAGTAGGTGTCCCTCAAAATATATTAACTAATGAAGAATGGATTTTGAAACAAATATACATATTTTTTTTTTATTTATAGTTGACAAAATCCTTAATATTCTATATTTTCTTTAAAAAAGAACAAAAATTTCTCTGTTAGCATCACATAAATCACACAACTGTAATATCTGCTGACCAGTTTTCCATAGGCTACCTCTGCCTCCCAGATCCCCTGTATTGGATTTAGGTCATATCAGTGATCTAGCCAAACCAAAACGATAATATTACTTTTAGTAAGTACAAACATCCAGCCCAAAGGGAAGGGGTGTTGGAATAGGGGTAGTCAGTCTGGTCAGTGGTTATTTTAAGAGAGGCAGGGTACACCCTTGACAGGTTGCCATTATAGGGCATCACAGACACACATCAAGTACAAGCACACAGGCAGACACCTCTTCAGACAAAATAAATCTATTGAACTGTGGGAAGAAACAGGACTTCACAGATAGAACACTGCTTGCAAAAAAACTGGATTGAAAATTAAACCCGTAAATTTTCTTTTTTCAACAAGGCAACGGTGCTAACAACTGCGCCTGGATACGTCTGCATAAGAAATATTGTCTTAAAATTAAAAGATAACTTCAAACCAAAATTTGATGGTAGTATAAATAATTTTTTTATTAACTGTGCATTTATGCAGTTTCCCATGCAAAGAAACAATACCATGCCGATTGGCACACTAATGGTCCCTGTAGGGATAATTACATTTTATATTTTCAGTGCATTTTTTTTTTATTAAGGCCTTTTATGCATTTTTGAGAAAAAATTTTAAGCTTTGCAGACAAAAACAAACACACGACTGATAGATACTTTTTAAAAACGAATATATTCATGGCTGTGTACATTCATGGAAAGGTTATTTGTTATTTAAGCGGTTGAATATAGCCACCAAACAAACACTGAACCTGTGAAAGATGAAGGGAAGAGAGGGGGGGGGGGGGGGGAGGTGAAGGGAAGGGGTTTGGATGAAGGGGGTGATGGGGAATGTTATTTCCACAAAGACGGGGGAGAAGAGACGATGTGGGAAAAACAAACAGGCAGTCTGGCTGGACTACCGAATGTGTGAAAAGGACCCCACAGAATAAACAAGGCCCTCACAGGGGAAGAACCCACAATAACTCATCATCACACTCACACACACAAACACACACAGAAACAGAAGAGCTAAGAGAATTCGGGCGAGTTTAATAATCTGGGTGCGATCATTTAACCCCAGTTGAGAGGAGTGAAGAGGTTTGTGTGCCAGTTCATGTTGGTGTGTGTCCGAGTCTTAAAGTGAGTGAGAGAGGAGTGAGGCGACAGAGTGACACAATGAGAAACAGGCTGCTGAAACAGTTTAACCCTGACACACACCCACACTTACACACATGACAGGGTCAGCTACGGATGCTCTCTGGGCTGCCACTGGACACGGATAAAGCTGCTACTGGACACGGATAAAATAAAATAAATATGTGTCGGAAAAAAAGGCTCAGTTTTAATTAAAAATATATGTGGCCAATTAGAAGTCAATCACCAACTGTCACGCTACAACCCAAGACGTTAATGATTTGGGATTAATGTGAAAGACCAACAAAAAGCAGCAGATAATCTTGAAGTGGAATGAAAAGTGTGCACATTTATATTGGGCCTTCCAGAATCTGGTAACCCATTCTGTCTCTTTACAGGCAAAGCTGGTAGAGACATACCTCCGAACAACTGTAACTGCAATCAAAGGGTGTTTGACAAGGTTCCTACTCCTTTGAAACATTTTCTAGACTTGCACAAATTAGAAAAAATACATGCAAGTTTGTTAATTTTGCAAGGGGCTATTTTGTTAACAAATAAAACCCTCAGAGTTGGTCTTGTATTATACATCCATGAAAACACAAACTCCATTCAAGAATTTAAAGACCTGTCATTTTTTACCTCATTGACTTTCCCCCCTCCTAACTGTCTTTCACTTCTTTTTAAATCAGTATAACACGGCTTGTACTCTCCTTAAATAACATCACCCCCCTGCATCCGCCTTCCACCCCAGAGTGCACGGACGTAGGGTGATGCCCGCGCACACGCACTCACATTCATGTTCCCCAGTTACATCAGAGGCTGCTTAAATATTTAACGCCCAGCAGAAATGATGTTTTTAAATTATTCACTTCTCTTCCGTTAACACTCGTTCTTGCAGCTAAGAGCCCCACATGGTCCCAGAGAGAGAGGCCCACTCCCCTCTGCAGCTCCTGCTCGGCCATCAGAGCCCGTTAGTGGGCTAGACATCCCCCTGGGAGGGTGTGTGCTGGAGTGGCCATGCTAGAAAGGTGGTGTGAGCTCATCCTCTTAAAATAGTCTCACAATGCTGTCAGACTTCAAGAACCAGATAATGAAGTAGGAAAACACAGAAATAAAATCTTGTCCTCTACTCTAAGCCTTGGTGAGTCTGAAAAATGCCATATTGATCTGATAGAGTATTGATCTGATACCCTGCCTGTATTCAAGTATTTAATCAAATTAAACAAATAAATTATTCTTGAACTTTGCCAAATTCAGCTTCTTTTAAGCACAAAATCTTCCCTGTGGTCATAAATTATTCATTTCAATTATTGAAAGTTTCCTCCTTGTTAAGCTGCTTTTTTACCTGGTTTTCAATAATGCAAAGTATTGTAAATCTCTCAATACAGCATGGATCGGAGGAGCAACTATAGATTACAGCAAATAATTCACCATTAGACTTTTAGTATGAACTTTTCTTCATGTATTTATTGTCGCCTTTGATATCAGTGGTTTTGCTATATTCATGTCCAGTTTTGTAACATATTTTATCCAAGGCAGTTGTCTCCAATGCCAGACTTATGAGGAAACAAACTCCATTGATCTTCTTTAAAAGAATTCCCATTTTACCAACAATATTGTCACTGCACCATCTTGTATTGTAAAGTTCTCACGAAGCCACTTTCATATGCCATTTCATCTCATGAGCTGGATGGATCCCTAAAACCTCCAAAAATTGATTAATAATTGAGTTTCTTGTTATAAAACAAATGAACATGGCAGGAGCAAAATATCAAGCATTTTACCAACTGGAACTTTGACTTACTCTTTCGGAAGAATGTTCACAAAGTTAAGCCTAACCTTTCAACACTGGGCAGGCTCTATCCATGTTTCATCACAGCAATAGAGTTATGTCTGCAATTTGTACTACATATAATGCTAAATATGACCAGGGAGTTTTTTTGTGTGTGTGTTAAATCCATTCAAAACTGCAGTCTGACTTCTGTGCATTGGGTGTTTCTCTGTCAGCAGTGGAGTTCACATGGGTTTTTCTTCCCTTCTGGTTAAATATGGTTTTCTTGGCACTACCAACCTGATTGCCTCTTTGCCCTGCGAGGTTGGCTATGGTCATAAAGTTAAATAGAAATGATGCACTATTTCAGTGATCCGTAAGGGTAACCATACACGTGTTAATATAACATAAATAGAAGCTACAAATTCTTCAAGATTCCTTGCTCTGTTTTGTTTACATCAACAGTAGAGGAGTGAGAAACTAGCTTGCCAGCAGCTGGAAGGTCCAAATCATGTTGCATTTCCTGTTTCACATATTGAATTTATAAAACCTGGAATGTACCTTCAGACCACTGCTTTAGTTTCTGATAATCTTGTTATGGGATTGTTTACAGTATATAACCAATGATTAACAGATGTTGCATTAAGAGAAGCATTAGTTTGTTCTGCCGTCATGTGTGAGAGCATTCATTGTTTTTTTTTAATGCCTAGTCTGGATTCATTCTTTCATGGAAGGTTTCCTCTATCCTCATTTAAAAGAAATAACATTTGACATTATGACAAGTACAACAAGCATGAGGGTCATTTCTCTAGAATTTCTTGACATCAGAATAAAAATTAATTCAAACTAACACATTTAAAAAACGGCCCAGATGGTCAAGAGTAAAATGGTGGACATGTTATTGATAATACTGTATATGCCTTTCAATTTGACAATGATAACTCCATATTGCTGAAGTGTATCTACCCTTGGTTCGGATGGAGTAGATCAGTCTTGTCCAGAGTTAGGTCCAGAGAACATTTATGACCCGCATATTTATATTGTGTGGACTGATTTTCAAAATTACTACAAAATTTGACCAACCAGCAGGCAGTTCCTGTTTTTACAGAAATATTTTTTTTATGAAAATGGACCCATATTCTGTCCATGTTGCTGTGAATATCCTATGACCCTACAATTGTGTAAATGATACTACTTTAACTGTTTTAAAGCAAAAATGTAATATCTTTTTTTTAATTTAAGCTCAAATATTAATAACATATCCATATTCTCCCAAAAATTTGATTTCTCTTTTTATTCTATGAATTATTCCATATTCAGGTGTAGTCCAAGTAATGCAATGGAAAACGATATAAATTATTTTCTTTATATTAATTATATAAATGATAAATAATTATACAACACTGATAAAAAAAAATGTTATAAAGAAAATTTTATACAGTAGAATATGTATTTTGATAAACTATTAAGCCAAAGCTTCCTTAAAGGAATAGTACACCCAAAACATGATTAGCCTTCATTTTCCACTCACCCCCATGCTGAACAACACTCTGGAGTACTTTTTTGATATCTCA